ACCCAAACCATTCTATGATTCTTTGAAAATTGATGGAGCCCACCTATGGGTTTGTTTAAGTGGCTGGTCACAAAAACACACTGGCGGTACATTAAAGTGGTTGAAATATTACAGAGCTCAGTAAGTGTTCCAAACTTTTAATTTTCTGGGCTCATTTGTGCAACTCAAATTCCTTTTGCAGTGCCTGTTGTTGGTATATGGTACTCAGCTGTCAAATTGTGTCCTTTCCAAAGCTGATAATGCTTTTTCAAACTTTTCTGTTCCAAATCCACGCTTCCCAGATCTCCCAGCTACACAATTAGTGCTCTGGGCTCATCATCATCTGAAAGCTGCTTTGAGGTTTAAGGTCAGGGTACAGACAGTACGTACAAGGCATGTCAAATATGGCACATGCAACTCAAAATTTATAGGTTTACAGATAATAAAATCTCATTCAGAAAGCTTCCTTTAGCATTTTCACTACTTCAAGAACTCTGTCTAGCTGTTCAAGGGTCTGAAGATGATTTCATTTTTTCAAGTCTTACCTTATTTTTTGAGCAGCAGTTTCTTCTAAAAGCGAGTTTTCTTTCGGTTATTGCCCTTACTTGACCACCCCACTGCAATATTCCCCATCTGCTTTTCCGTGCATTGTTCCTTTGTTAAAGGCAACTTTCTAAAGGTTTTGCGGGTAACTGAAGGCTGGGACGTGCTATCATGAGTTACTTTTTCTAGGGCGTTTCTGTTTGAATGAAGCTTATGTAGCTTTGCCATGTATCTTTACTTGTTTTCCATTGTTAACCATTTACTACTGACTGTTAATTATACTTAATTTTTTTTGTCCCGACTCAAAAGCATGAAATGCAAGGGCACAATGTAATTTAAAAAAAAAAATTCTTCCAGAAAAAATGAAATTTGCAGACTGATAAAGCTGTAAAGTGACATCTCTTTTTTAGCTTCCGGCACATGGCAGGCACTGTATTTTGCTTGAAGCATTTGATAAAATATCACAGAAACGTGAAAGAAATATATATTAATAGACCTGACTCAACGGGATGAGTGTGGTAACCCTGCTCTCAAAACCCCTCACATATGTTTCTGTGGGCCAGTACAGAAGATGAAAGACCTCAGAAATAGCTTTCCCTTTTGAAAAGTAAACTCTATGACAGTTTGTCCCTGAGAGCAAACCAGCACTGGGGATCTATCTGCAATACAATTATTTTGAATTAAATTATCATGATGTTACTCAGCTAATTAGAGGAAATCTTTCACATGAATGCGCTGTAGCCAAAAGACACCAACTGCATTTCCTAGCTTTCTAATGTCCCTCCTAAGGTGGCAGGTCATGAGAGCGGGAGAGCTGCAGAAAAGGAAAAAAGAAGGGGAGTGAAAATCTCCAGGAAAATTACAGACAATCTGTTTAGTACCCCTACATCTCCTAAATTTCCAAAAGAGATTTCTTTTCTGTTAACCATGTGAAACATGTGATCTTTGAGTCAGGTGAGGAAAGCAGTAGGAAGCAAGCAAGGCTGGAAGTAGAAGCTTATTTTGTACCCTGTACATGTGCATTTCCATTGCTGCTGTGCACTGTTGAGTTGGGTAGGGTTTGGGAGGGTGCGGTTATACTGTGGAGGTTGCGTTAACACCAATGGCAAGCTGGTGCTTTTTCTTCCTGAGGGAACTAAGGCTTTCCAACTTAAAGTAATTGGGGTTCATTGCTATAGCTGGACTGCAGCTGCAAAGGGAGATTGAAGTTAATTTTCCCTGGGGATCTCTCATGCATGGGTGAACCAGGGACTAATGATAGGGAAGGGCTGACCACAAGCTTGAAAAGGACGTGGGCCCTGGAGTTCAAAAAGTATCTTGTGTAAACTAGGGTGAAGCATTTAAGCTAGGATTAAGCTGAACAGGCAAAACTAACTTTACAGGGATTTTTCCTGGAGAACGACCAGTAAACACAATGCAATTTAGCTAGTTTGGGGGCAAGCCAGAGGGCAGAGAAAATGCATGTGTATGGAAAAAGGAAGGACTGATAGGAAAGTCAGCTATTAAAAAGAAATTATTAGATGTAAAAGCTTGAGCACATCAGCTTTATGGACAGTGGAGCTATAAACTGCAGAGATTGCTGAGGCTGTCAAAAGAGGGAGAAATTTTCTTCCCCTTCTGTTTGAAATTTTCAATAAATCTTGTGATTAAAACAACTGTTATTCGTGAAAAGTGAGTAGTTGTGCACTGAGGGGACAGCTGGAATTCAGTTGGATGTAAGGAGTGTGATACTGTTCGGGACTAATGGCTGGAGTGTACCATTGGGCACTTACATCCTCAGACTTACAATTATAAATCTCAATTATTTATCAGGATTGATTCTTTGCACTGCAGATATTTCTTTGTCATTCCTAGCAATTGACTTTCAAATTTTTGTTCAAATTTCTTCTAATGTGAATAATGCTTAGTGACTGCAGAAATACTCTTGAACTTTAGCCAAAGCTACTATCACGCAGATTTTATTATGATCAGTGCCTGAAATAGTTTAAGAAATAGTTTAACCTTTGTGGTTGTTTCTTTTTTTCTAACATCTGTAATATTGCAGAGCATCCTCTTACAATATTCTTCTGCCTTCCTAGTGTTCTTGGATATGCTTACTTTACTGTTTTGAGGGTTATTCTATATTTAGTATTTGCATGATTTAATCTGGAAACAAATTGTTTTAAGTCTTACCGGTTTACCTATTTCAGTCTCCTCCAGTTTCTCCAAATAGATGCATCATAGAGATTTATAATTAAGTTGTTACAAGGCATTTGCGCATTCTTTACCTCTCAAGGCTTTTCTGCATTTGCGTGCTGGATTGTGCTGTCCTAGCAGGGAAGCTATAAATAGACTCTCTGATGCAGTGAGGCAGCTATGCCACAGTGGCCTTGGAAATCTCAGCTTTCACCTGTAACTCTGCGTTCCCATTCCCACCGACCTCACTCTCTTGCAGTAGCAGGATGCAAAAGGGACGTAAATGATTGATTGCTGCTGGTGGTGTCTAAAGTCTGAGTGTATTAAATTTGATGGAGCAATGAAGAATGGAGTAAGCTGTGAAGCTGCTCCTATCAAAAAGGGGTAGGGGTATAATAATTACAGTCTTTGCAGTACATTAGATTTTGGTTGTTTGCACAGGTGACTTTTAAATTGAAATGAATATTATTGCCAAAGTTCTTTAAAATCCTTTCTTGTTCACAAAAGTTACTGTAACATTTTTAATAATTTAAGTTTATAAAGTGCTTTTGTGTATTAAAGTACTGTAGAGTACATGTTTACATTGTGAAAGATGTTTTTTTTTTTACAGTGTGAAAAATTCAAACTATTGTCTCCCATCATATACTGCATATAAGAATTATGATTATTCAGAGCCAGGAAGACACAATGAACAGCCAGGCCTGTGTGGCCTGAGTAACTTGGGGAATACGTGTTTCATGAATTCAGCAATTCAGGTACGTACTTTAGAATAAAATTAGTTTGTCTTGTTATTTGGAAATTAATGTTCTGTTAGATTTTGTCATGTTTGGAAACTAATATTAAGAGACTCCATTAAGTAGGAGGATAGGATTAAAAGTGAGGAAATAATACATCTATACTGGTATACTAGAAAAGTTGATTTACATAGCTGCATTCATTGTTTCCCCTGTTTTTGCACAGTGGTCAGTGTCAGAAAGAGATTTGACCAGCATTCTACATGAGTGAACCCTTGAGTGGGTTTCTTTGCTTTTTTTAATGATTGCCATGCATGCATGTAATGAAAAATACTTTTTCATTTTGAGATGCGCTTGAGTACAGATTGTAGTGCTGAAGTGTCAAAAAACAGATGACCAGTGGATTACTGGGCCTTTATTTCTAGCTAATTGTCATTAACATGCAGGGAACCTTTGAACGTATTTCACTTTGACCTTTTCCCTTTGAATAGCTGCTATTTCATGGATAAGATATTTTACAGGAATGTAATAGCTTGTTTCTTTGCTATGACTGCAAGAGAAATACTAGTGTACTTAGTATTGCACTTACTAAGAAAAAAAAAAAACTTAGTCCTTTTAAGCTGCAGTGGTAGATTAATTAATGATCAGAAAGAACTCTTAGTTTGATTTGGTTTTGTTTAGTTCTGGAACTCATGTTTTGTCATCAAAGCAGTCTGATGTCAAAAAACTGTGAAGTGTGTTTAAGTTCTCGTTCACATTTTTTTCCTGATGAGTATAAAGATGCTAGATCTTAACCAAGCATACTTCAGAGTTAGTCTCCTCATTTGTCATCACAAGGGTTCCTAACTTATGTTTGTGACTTCTTTGGGTGAAACAAATATGTGTGTGTGTGTGTGTGTGTATATAATGTTGGATTCCTTCTTCACCTGATCAGGAAAAAAGTAGTTTGATACGTTTGTAAGCTAAGTTTATGAAGGTGTTGAAACTTGTTCAAAAGAATAAATATTCCAGAGTTTCATAGTCTGTGCAGAAATTCTATCACTTCTTCATATACAGAATCAGAAAATAATTAGAGTTAAAAGGGACCCCAGAATGATCATGAGTCCCACCTCCTGCTTGTGTCCACTGACTCTACGCCTTTTCGTGTGTACTTCTGAGAAGAGTCCGGCTCCACTTCTCTAGCCTCCTATTAGGTAGCTGCAGAAAGCAATGAGCTGTCTCCTTAGCCTTGTCTTCCTCAGGTTGAACAAATGCATACAGCTCTCAACCCCTTATTGTATGTTGTTCTCCAGCTCCTTGACTGTGTTGGTGGCACTTTTGCACTGGGGAGCCCTAACTAAACAGGGCAGCGCTCCAACAGCAGTCTCACAAGTGCCAGACGGGGGGGAGACTTGCTTCCCTTTGCCTCTGGATACTATTGCTAATACAGCCCAGGTTGCAATGGGCCACCTTTCCCACAAAGATGCACTGCTCGCTCTTCCACATTTCCAGAGAAAAGGACCACTGGGTCATACTATGCAAAGCTGCTTTCAAGCCAGTCAGCCCTCAGCCTGTAGCGGTGTATGAGGTTATTCCATACTTATTATATAAATAAGGCATCCTTAAAATTAAACTTGTTTCTAAAAATGTTTTCATGAGGTTACTTGAAGAGAGGTTGAACAGTGCAGGAAGTAGTTCGAATTTTTTGTTAGCATGCTGCACAAAAGATGGCTATGCTGAAAAGGGGAGGGACACTTGTGCCGTGTCTCTTCTGAGTAAAGATGCTATCTGTAACCTCTCTTGATTACTGAATTGTGTCATTGTGCTGTTGTAAAGGGAAAAAAAGAATATATTTTTGTGTCTAGTGTGTAAACCAGAATTGTCTTTAATTTAACTTTAATTAAAAAAATGTTCTTAGTACATACTGAAAATATGTTTTTTATGGTGCTATGCTGTTCATCAGGCTGGACTGATTGAAAACAAGGATAATTTTAGTTACTTATTCAAACCTTTTGTAAACTGGCATACATGAATTAGCATATATCTAGATTTAAAGGTAACCTTTTAGGTGAGAATGGGAAGCATGGGTTATGGCCTTTAGGAATCTTACACAGCTTAAGAAACTAATTTATTACAGTTTGCATCATTATGCCACTGTGTTAACTGGATTTAATTCTGAGGTTTCCGCTCTAAATCATGTCAACTTTTACTTCATTGCTTTTCAGTTATATCTAGGGAATCAAGTGTTCAAATAAGTTCTGAGAAAGCATAGTGTAAATTAATAAATAAAATTTTGCTGATACCCAAGACACTGCTCTGGGTAAGGAAATTAGTTGTTCATTGAGCAGTGCAGCTTTTAGTTTGGCATGGTACCTTTAGTATGTCCTTGGTGGTGGTTTTTTTCAAGTGCATCATTTGGCAGCTTAGCAAGGCAGTGTAAAGCATCTTTCAGTTCCACCTACTGGATCTTTCAAGGGAAGTATTATTCAGAGTTTAATGTTATCTAAGAAATCCATGGAAGTGTATTTTAGTGAAAGTATGAGGTGTTCTTAACACACTAATGTCTTGCAAACTGCAGGTTCTACTGTCTTTTTCCTGTTGCCACCACTTAACTTTTACCTTTTTTCCAAGTACACTGAAAGCATACATTTCACTGTACTAATTTGCCATTAATTTCACCTCCTACTGTTACTGGAGTAACATTGGATTATTCTGGCTAGAGGTGTAATGCGTATGGCTGCATTTGATCTTGTCCAATCTTGGAAGCAATGTACTATTCCTTCTGGAATAGTATGTGGATGGCAGACTAGGGAATTCTGCTTTGGGAGTATTGGGTGGGTCTAGACTTTGACCTGGATGATGAAGCAGAGTGCAATTTCAGCAAGATAAGAGATAACACAAAACTGGGGCACAGGGCTGATACAGTGCTGCCATTCGGATGGACCTCGATGAGCTGGAAAAATGGGCAAACAGGAACCCCATGAAGGTCCGTCAAAGGAAATGCAAAGGCTTGCACCTGGTGATGAATAATCCCATGCACCAGTACACACTAGGGTAGGGGTCTGGCAACCAGATGGAAAGCAGCTTGGCAGAGAAGCACCTGGGGTCCATCCTGAGCCAGCAACGTGTCCTTGGGCCAGCAACCTTGTGGGCTGCATTGGGAAAAGCACTGCCAGCAGGCCAAGGGAGCTGATCCTTCCCCTCCACTCAGCACTGGTGAGACACCCCTGGAGTGCTGGGTCCAGTTCTGGGCTCCCCAGTACAAGAGAGACAGGATCATACTGGATCAAGTCCAGTGAGAGGCCACAAAGGTGATCAAGGGATTGCAGCATCTGACCTACATGGAGAGGCTGTGAGAGCTGTTCAGCCTGGAGAAGAGAAGGCTCCAGAGTGATCTTATCCATGTGTATAAATACCCAGTGAGAGGGAACGAAGATGATGGAACAAGACCCTTCTCAGTGGTGCCCACTGAAAGGAGAAGAGGCAATGGGCAGAAACTGAAGCACAGGCAATTCCATTTAAATATTAAGACATTTTGGTTTACAGTGAGGGTTATCAAACACTGGAATATGTTTTCCAGGGAGGATGTGGAGCCTCCATCCTTGGAGATGCTCAAAACTTGACTGGACACAGTTCCAAACAACCTGCTCTAGGTAACCCTTCTTTGGGCAGGGGATTGCACTAGATGATCTCCAAAAATACCTTCTAACTTAAATTATTCTATGGTTCTCTGATCTGCTTTGGTTGTCTACTCTGGCTTATTTACCTTCTTAAGCTGTCTTCCCTCACAATTATGTCAACACAGGGCTGTTTATTAGGATAAATCTGTTTTCTTTAAGCAAAATTGTTTAGTGTGGTGTTTTAAACTTGGAAATAGTTTCCAGTTCCATTCATATTCTGTTCCAAGAGCTCTATTTTGGTCCCTTCTATTCAGTCAGTGGTGAGTGTAATGAATGTAGCTTCCTTCAACAGAAGCAGTTTGTTTATCCACTCTTCTGCTGATTACGATTTTTCTCAGATCTTCATCTTTCACAGACAGCATTGAGAACCCCTGGTGTTCACATAAGCACCATTTCTGCTTCAGAAACCACATAATTTCTCAGACAGCTTCTCCTTGCTCTTATGTTATGTACAGTGAAGGTGGTTTACATCGGAACTGTTATCAGTGCTCTTCGAAGAAGAGGGCCAGTTCCTTGCGCATCTTGCTCTCCAGAATCTGACAACCTTGTCTGAAAGTTTTTGCCCTGTGACTATGTGAGGTAGAAATGAGATAATCGTGGCAGTTTCTTAAATTCTGTTGCAAGTTCATTAATAGTTCTTCAGTCTATAGTAAGGTTAGAGTTGCTTCGTCATCCTTCTAAGTGATGAGACCTTTGCTTTTCCAAGTAGAGGCTTTCAGTGTTACAAACGTCAAGGCAACTAGAGGAGAAATGGTGAAGAGATGGGTAAGATCCTCTGTGGTACCACAAAGTTGCAGGCTAAGTAGAAGTTAGGCCAAGAAGGCTAAGATACCATTGCATTTCTCCAAAGTGCTTTTGTCTTATCACTGTTTCTTATGAAAAAAGAATAATTCTATATTATTTTATATTTTGGTTATATTGTAACTTTTGTATAGATTTTTCAGAGTATTCCATGTATCTAATTTTTATTTACTTCAGTGCTTACACCTGAGGCTTGATTTTTAGTATTAAGGCGTGAATGTCTGCTTTCGCAGATCTGAGTATTAAATAAAACAGGAAAGACAAAAGGGAGCTTGTGGACTTTATGAAAACATATTTTTATGAATGCTTGAACCCATATCAAGAAAAAAAAGGGTATTTGGCAAGTACATATTTTATTCATATTCACTTACGTACATGGCTATGTTTTAAGCTGGAAAAATTAGAAAAAATATGAAGCACTGCTGTGCTGCCACCTGTGGATGTTTCCTAAGTATTGCCCTTTTGGTGGGATACTAGTAATTGGAGCTCTGTGGGACATGGTTTTGGTTTTTTTTTTTTTCCCAAGTGAAAATCTGAGAGGTCTCAAAGTTTAAATTTTGTGATTCAAAAATAAGGGAAGAATGAAAATAAATTATTTAATTAAAACCACTTATTTTTCTTTTTTTTTTCCCCATTTTAATTTTTTACGTTTTTTCCACTAGTATGATTATATGTACTTCACTTTTGAACAACCACCGTTGAGAGCTTTGCAGTGGGGTATTTCAGCAATTTTCTTTCTTCAGAAAGCTGATTAAAATTCCCTCTACAGTTACTAATGGCTGTGAGTTTATCCAGACAGAACATCACATCTTTCACCAAAATCTGAAGTGATTAGGTTTTTAATGCTCTGCCTCAGTTGCTGTAGGCTTATGGAGTTTGGGTTAAGGGGTGTGTTAGCTGAGTGCTTTTTACCGTGTCTGACACTAAGCACATCAGACAAAAGTAGCATAGACAGGTGTAAAGGAATTCAGTTTTTCTCCTGTTACTTGAATCTTTCTTTCTTTCAGTCAGTCAGCTCTTCGTCTCTGTTAGAAGGCTGAAATATGAAATTTCACTGTCCGTTGCATAAAATTATTATTAAGTAGGACAGCTGAAGAACTATGATATTTATAGGAACACTCAATTTTTAGCTCAATTTCATTATCTCATTGGCTACTTCTTATTTCCCCTGTTTACTGGCATAATAGGTAATGATGTTTTCTTTGCTTTGAAATTTTATTTTTATAATTATTACTATGTAATATCCCTTATGGGGTGCAAATAAATGTGTCCTTGTTACCTTAAAATCATAGGATAATTTGGGTTAGAGAAGGAACATCAGGAGGTTTCTAGTGCAACCTCCTGCTCAAAGGAAGGTCAGCTCTGAGGTCAGACCAGGTTGCCCAAGGCTTTATCCATTTGGGTCTTGGAAACCTCAAAGAAAGCTGCACAGCCTCTCAGCTGCACTGTTTGACTTTTTTTCTTATATCTTTGACCTCTTCTGTTTCAACTTATGGCCATTGTTTCTTGGCCTCCCACTATACACCACTGTGAAGAGCCTGGTTCCATCTTCTCCTTAACTTCCCTGTAGGCACTAGAAGGCTGCTGTTGCATTTTCCTGAAACAGTCTCTTCTGCAGGCTGAACAAGCCCCAATGCTTCAACCTTTTCGCACAAGGCAAGTGCTCCAGCCCACTGACTGTCATGGTGGCCCTCCTTCTTCATTCATTTTATTTTCTTTTTATCAATTAAACAATCAGAGTCTTTGCAAACTTTTTTATCAATGTTTTCCCATACTTAAATTATGTGAATTTAGAAAAGTATAACGTGACTATTTTTATTATTATTTTTCCACCTATATGAGTTTCACAGGACAGGTAGACTTGCTAACAAGATCATAGTCTAGTTATTGGAATTATAGTATTCTACCGAGGCTGCATCATTGATATACATAAAATGCATTGATATACATAAAATCTTAATGCTTCCCACACCCTACGAGTTACAGCTATGCTCTCTATCTGTAAACGGTAGACTGTATGTGTCTTTACAGGTGTTTAGGTTTCCTTTTTGACTCAGTAGTTTAGAATTCTTCAAGGGTGTTTATATGCACATGTATGTACATCAGCAGTGCATGCAGTTGATGCACAAATTGTGTGAAGCATTGTTTCGTTCAGATTTATTATTTGTCTAATTTTCTTGGAGATTGGTTATGATCCCTTGATACTGATTGCATAAATAGTTGTTATCCACAAGTTGCTCTGCTACAGAAAAATCTTTTTTTTCTCCTTTTTTTCCAAGTAATTAGTATGTAACATTGAGCTATAATTTCAGTGTTAACCTTTGTCATGCTGAAGACTGATCCTTCTCCTCTGTGGTTTGTCTCATAGTTGGTCTTGGAGTTTCTACATTCTGTTCCATCTTTTCCCATGATCATTTAGCTAAACAACCAGTTTGGGTTTGGAGTCTAAGCACTTTACAGAAGCTTTGTTGATTAAAGAAAACTTGCGGAGGCTGAACTGAACTGAAGTGCCATTCTGTTACCTCTTTAGTTCACAAATGGTTTTCTGTGGTTTCACCCTATTTATTTAGCTTTTTTGGTTTCTGTTTCTCTTAATCTGTGGGTATACTTGTTAGTGTAACTATGTCTGTGTTTTAAAACAAGCAAACAAAAAAACCACTAGGTTCAACAAGACACTTAAATCTGATGACTTTGCTGTCTAGTAGATTGTCTTGGTTCTAATAGTTCTTTTTTTTTTTAATTGATGCTTTCCATAATGCTCCCTTGATAACCTACAATATATCATATCATGAGAAAATAAGAATGTAGGCTTCTCTTCGAATTGGCTTGTGGATGCTTTTTTTGCTGTGTCTTTAATCATGGTCTTAACTAGTTCTCTATTGTCAGCCTTCTCAAGAAGTAAACGCGTTTGCAGTTATTGAGCTTTGTCAGTTATGTTGAAAACATCAGTGGTTATGTGTTCAACTGTATTAGTTCCTGTAGCAGCTACTCTTGCAAGTTGTGGCATCTGATATTTTAGAAAAATGTCAGCTCTATATCTCAGAAATTGGTGTGTTCAGATAGATACTTCTGCATTCCACTACTACTATCAGTGTAATTTTATGGAATGTGGAAATTGTTATAAGGAAAAAGGGAAATTATCTGTAGTAATCTTCCTGACTTATACATACAAATATGAATCAAAATTCTGAGAAAGTGACAAAACTAATTTTATGAGGTGAAAACTAGAAAAAGATAAAATAGTTTTTTGGTGAAACAACACACTGTCAGCACATTGTGTAGTATTTTTCTAAGAACCTATAGAAAAAATAACTGGTTTTGCATTATTTAGTTCCTGTTCTGGACATTCCTCACACTAAGATGATCAGTTGAGCTGATTTAATCTCCTAAACCAGCCCAAAAATAATCCATAAGAGAAGTGAGGAGGAATAATAGTTTTTTGACAGGTGAGATGAAGATGTTCATTGTGCAATGAGATGAGGATCAGGAGAGAAGGGGTACAGCTTCTTTGGGCAGTAGGATTTGTCACATCACTCAGATTGAACATGCAATTTTACCTAAAGTGTAGTTTTATTTATAGTTAGTTTAGCGTCGTTTGCACTGTATTGTTTCTGGGTATCTGGTGGACCTTGGTAGTCCATCCATTTGTTGAGGTTGATGCTAAAAGTAATCTTTTGAAAACTACGATTGATAACTTCTGTGTGGATTTGAGAGGCCAGGTATTTCTCCTCTTAGCTGCATGGATCAGTTCAGAACTGACAACACAGATCTATGAGGTAGGGGGGACTTGTCATGTAGCAAGAGAAAAATGAGCTTTCTTCAACTCTGAGTGCCCAAAAGGCCCTATAATATGGGGATATTTTGCAGTGTTGACAGCTCATGAAAGCTTTAGGTGAGGAGGGAGAGAAAGGAAGGAGTGCAATATGGGCATTTTTTGTTCTGCTCAATAAAGTTGTAATTCTTCCAGTCTCAGTTGTTGCATCTTACACAGTAGCTATGTGGAGCTAAAATTTTTGTTCTTCCCCTTGTTTGCACAGAAGCAGATGAGACTGATGAAATACTTGACCTTTCTTGGAATCTTTAATAGAGGAAAGAATGGAGAAAAGCTTATAATATTTAATGAAGAAACTTTGCTAAATCTGTATGCTACAGCATAGAATAAGGATCATTTCCAAGTGATGGAAAAGTTTTTGTTTAAAGGAGTGTGAGGAGTAGCACAGAAAAATTCAAAGTGGTTTCCTAAAATTATAAATCATCCTTCAGTGATTATATCCTGCTATCTCTTAAGTGTTGACAGAAGAGACAAACTGATAAGAGGATAAGTCATTATCTCAGTCTAAACCAAGGCCCTTGCGTTCCTTGAACTAATTTCAGCTCTAAACAGCTTCACAAAATTTGAAAGAACATAGGAAGGGCTGCACCAATTATGAAGGTCTAGTCCATCTAGCATAGATTGCTGTTTTCAACAGCTTCCATAAGCAGATGCCTAGAATAGAAGGAATAGGGCAAGCATCCTCACCTTCCCTTCCTACCCATCCCTGCCCAAAAGAAAAAAAATCTCAGTTTTCAACTATTTTCAGCTCACATGTTGTTCTGAATGTGGTGTAATTTGGTTTAATATTGTCTCTCTCTTCCAAGTATCTATGCAGTCTCTTCTTGAGGCCTTGTAAACTTTGTGCATCTATAACAGCTTTCAGCAAGGAGTTTCAAAAAGCTACTATTCATGTATCAAGAACCACCTTCTGTTGTTTGTTTTGAATCTCTAGACAAATTGAGTTGTCATACTGTGGTTGGCTGGACTACTATGTCTAATAAATTCTGATATAAAGCTTTTGTAAAATATTATCTGTGCCTAATTTCTAATGATAGCTGCAGACAGTCTTCGTTTAAAATCATTATTTATTTCTGGAAAATAACTTTTTTTTTGGTCCTTCTGGGCACTAGGCATTACAGTTTAAAGTATTGTTCATGGCTGCTTTAATAAAGTTCAAACGTCCTTTATTTAGAACTAATTGAAATCACTGTTCTAAAAATTCTCTGTTTCTATTTACAGTGTCTGAGCAACACACCTCCTCTTACAGAATACTTCCTCAATGATAAATACCAAGAAGAGCTGAATTTTGACAATCCTTTAGGAATGCGAGGCGAAATAGCAAAATCTTATGCAGAGCTTATCAAGCAAATGTGGTCAGGAAAATACAGCTACGTTACGCCAAGAGCATTTAAGGTCAGTAGGGAATTTAACCAGAATGTAGGTTGGCAGATTTGGTTTTGTAGTTAATGGAAATACGCAAGGATACGAATTTGAAGTAATAATCATCAGTACGCAGTCCATTCATTTAACTGTTAAAACACTTGGATGGGTGTTTAAATAAATGTCAGCTGTCTTTGTGCTTTGGTCTTGAGAATTAGTCCTGGCTTCTTGTTTCCATTGAAAAGCTTATTTTTTATAAGTTTTACCTTTTCAACTTTCTGCTGTAGCATTTCAGAAGTACCTATTCTTTATAACAGTTAAGGTACCAGAAGTATTTGTTTGGGGTTTTTTTTAGACACAAGTGGGACGATTTGCACCACAATTTTCTGGTTATCAGCAACAAGATTGTCAAGAGCTACTGGCTTTTCTCTTGGATGGATTACACGAGGATTTGAATCGAATTAGGAAAAAGCCTTACATTCAGTTAAAGGATGCAGATGGGAGACCAGACAAGGTAGTGTTTTTGGTGTTTGGTTGGGACACTGATCACGTGTTACTTTTTCTGGAAGAGATTTCAGAAAATAAACCAAGACCTTAGAATGGAGATCCTATTCAATTACCTGTGTAAATTTCTGTTTATTTTGAAGGTAATTGGCGGGTCAGAGATGTTAAGACTTTAAAACCTTTTTGTTCAATTCAGTGCTGAGTTCAGCTGGAAAAACAATGTCCATTCTGTTCTTTTATATCTGCAGTATGCAGTGTTCCATCTCTCTCCAGTACTCTTACTTTAGGGAAACTCTTCTAGCATTGAGCTACAAGCATATAGATCATTTCTTTTGGTACCAGTATGAGTAACATCAGATGGAATTTATAGTTTTATTTGCTTGTGTCTTGCCCCAAGCGTCTCTCAGACTATGCAATACCACTGACTTAATCTGTGTCCTAGGAAAAGTATACATATTTTAACCTGTGATCCTGATACTAGTAATGTATCTTACAGGGTCCTTTGGAGTAAGATTTCTGTGTTTAGATGGTAACTGAGAATGTTCAAGTACTCTTATTAATAATTCTCACTATTCATTTACTACTACATAACCCAGGTCATGCTTTAATTACAGGTGGTTGCTGAAGAAGCCTGGGAAAACCATTTAAAAAGAAATGATTCCATCATTGTAGATATATTTCATGGCCTTTTTAAATCCACCCTAGTTTGTCCTGAATGTGCTAAGATTTCTGTAACCTTCGATCCGTTTTGTTACTTGACACTTCCATTACCCATGAAAAAAGAACGCACTTTGGAAGTTTATTTAGTCAGAACGGATCCACTTGCAAAGCCTATGCAGGTAAGCCTCTTAGTTTATGCACAAAACTCCTGATTCACGTGGCATTAACAATGAACCCGAGTTCCTTTTTTAAAAAAATTTATAAGTACAATAAGCAAATCCAATAAACTTTAGTTTTCTGGAATGTGCTCTGAAGTTACACTTAGAATGCCTGAAGAAGACTATGCTTACCTTCTTATATTTCTGTCAGTTTCAAGGAAGTTATTGGTAATTTCTTTATGGTTAAGAAGACTTCCTAATCTTTAAAATGTATGTTGTCCTCATTTTTTATTTTAGTGTTTCTCTAATGAATTTGTATGGCTATAGAAAAAAACAAACAAACCTGATTTGATCCAGACTTCATTCCTCAGTTTATTCGCTTCAAAATAAAAATATTGGTAATAAGTGATGCAAAACCCCTTGTGACTAAATATATTAGGTAGTCCTGAATTCTTCTATGCTATCACTTAATAGCCAAAAGAAAAGATTTCAGATGAGATTTCTTTGTAAAGAGTATCTCTTTTGCCTTTTTTAGGAAGGGTGGTGTTACACACCTTAGAACGTCACAAAGCAATGTACACAGATGATGGTAGCAAAATCATGAAATGGTTCTAGCTGTACCTTATGGGGTGAGCGAGATAGGTGAAATAAATAAGACACAGGCAGTTAGGCAGACTTGCAGAAAGGCTTTAGTGCCTGAAATCGGAGTACTACTAGAAGGAAAATGGGGGGAAAGGAGTGTTCTCAAAGGCAATATGAGTTAGGGAAGTCAAAGATAAAGGGACATGTATTAACTAGTGGGAGATGAGCCTGCTAGTAATGTAATTATTTGTGAGAACAGATTTGCACAAGGACACAAAGTAATTGAAGATGACCCTGTATGACATGTGAGATGGTTATGCAGGAATGAATAGATAGGGAAGAGTATGAGTTCAGTAGAGCTTTTGTGAGTCTGAGTAACTGTAAGACTTAAGGAGATGCCAAACACATGCTGTACTTGGTAATTAATTACAAAGTTATAATACCTTATTTATAATCAATCCTGTCTTTATTTATTACGTAAGTAACAGGTAAGAGTACTGTGTGGAGTGTCATTACAAACTGCAGGCATACTATAGTAAGGGAAGCCACAGAGAGGTCTTATTTGACTGTTAGTCATCAGGTTCTCTCTGTGCATGTGGAATTAGAATTCAGTCTTTATCCGTTGCCTGCCATTGCTTTTTTTCCCAGTAATAGTTTATAAACAACTTGTGTTGTATTCCAAATTTAAGAAGCTAGTCAATAAATAGCATGCATACTATTTAAATGCTTAAATAGGTGGGTGCAGTGGAAATATAAATTAAGTAATTGGTGCTGTTAGTCTTCGTATGGAGAAAGTAAAATAACGTTTTAAAAAGCATTGTATAGACTAATAAATGTAGTATTCAAAGTGTGAGTGTTTGAATGAGTAAAGTTGTGAAGGTTACTATGTTTTCAGCAACTTACAGAATTTGTGTTGATTTACATACTTTACACCTTAAGTTCAAGAATCTGAAAGAAGTACAGGAACTATGCTGAACATGTGATAGTCGCTTGGTTGTTTTCTTATTTATATTTGTTCTCTTAGGAAATTAAAGTGACATTGTATCTTTTTTTAGTACAAAGTCGTTGTTCCCAAAATCGGAAATATATTGGATCTTTGCACAGCATTGTCAGCTTTGTCTGGTGTTGCTGCAGATAAGGTAAGTGATTTCTCTTGTGAAGCACAACAATTAACATTTTAACACGTATTAACCTGATTTAATGATGTATACTCCATTTTCTTTTTAGATGATTGTAACTGATATATACAATCACAGGTTCCACAGGATATTTGGCATGGATGAAAATCTAAGTAGTATTATGGAACGTGATGACATTTATGTGTAAGTACAGATAACAAGTTTCACGTCCCTGCAGTTTGTTTAGTTATCTGCAAAACGTTAAAACCTAGACATAAAGATAAATCTTGGCAGGTTTATTATTTTTTGATTTTTCCCCTTTGTAGCCTTTTAAATTACGGTTGTCCTTTGTATTTCTGATTGTTTTTCTTTTAGATTTGAAATTGCTATCAATAGAACAGAAGATACAGAACAAGTTATAATTCCTGTTTGTTTACGGGAAAAGTGCAGGCACAATAGCTACAGCCATAGTGGATGTTCACTGTTTGGTCAACCTTTTCTCATAGCAGTGCCTAGAAACAATACTGAAGAGAAACTCTATAACCTGCTGCTGCTAAGAATGTGGTAAGGTTACTGTTTAAAGAAAAATGTGTTTCTTATGAATAATGCTAGTAGTTGGAATCAGTAGGCACTTATTTTTACATGCATTGCTAACAAACTGGTTAGATTTGAGTACTTAGTCTTTTATTTGCTTTCTGTTAAATATATTAAATCTAAAATTTTAGCCACTTGAGATGTGAATTACCGTGGATTTTAATTTGATTTTTTGTTAGCATGACCCCATCCAAAACTTATTTGAGAAGACAGTAGAGGTTCAATCTGCACAGTCAGTTTAGAGGAATTAATTACTCTCTGTACCTAGTTGTTTGTTAGGGCTTGGTAAAATGAAAATGTTTTGCCAATTTTTGTGCTATGCTTATACCTTCTGTATCTACTATACAAGTTTATATACTAATTTATGTTGTAAAACTACATGGTAGACACTTTCTGAGACTAGACTGAAATAAGTGTCATTATGTGGATGAAATTAGAATCATATAATGTCCAATTTAAATTTTCTGTTGATGTAGTTTTCTCTCTAAGTGACTTTTGTGTAAGAAAATATGGTTAATGAACAGTTAAAGAAGTGATTTCTGGACGAACAGCCAACCAAGAATCAAGTTGCATAAAATAAAGTAACTGCCAAAAAATTAAGATCATGGATGAGCAGAATTTCAGATGTGCCTGTAACAGTAGACATGTTAGCCAATAAATTTATTAATTCTGAATAATTCAGGAGTACAGCAATACAGTACACTACAAAGGATTTGCTCTAGCCATTTAATTACCTGGTTTGAAAAATGTAAATATTTAAAAATCCACTGATTCTAACTGTTGCTTTCATTTGTTATATTTAGCCGATATGTAAAAACATGTACTGAAAGTGAAGACACTGAAGGATCCCTACATTGCTGTAAGGACCACGGTATCAATGGTAATGGCCCGAATGGAATACATGAAGAAGGATCTCCAAGTAAGACTGGAATATCTATAAACTTGTTCAGTATTTTCTGTTCAATTTGAAACTGAAGTTAATTCTGTAGTGTATTTCAATTATTGTTATTCTACCTCATTTCTCCTCCCTTATTCTTACAATTGTTTCAGGTGAAATGGAAACAGATGAACAAGATGATGAATCCAGCCAGGATCAGGAACTTCCTTCAGAGAATGAAAACAGCCAGTCAGAAGACTCGGTTGGAGGTGACAATGACTCCGAAAATGGATTATGTACTGAGGATACTTGCAAAGGTCAACCACTCACGGGACACAAAAAGCGATTGTTTACATTCCAGTTCAATAACTTAGGCAATACTGACATAAACTACATCAAAGATGATACCAGGCATATTAGATTTGATGATAGGCAACCTAGGCTTGACGGTAAGTAATGGGGAACAGGCTGGGCAACATTTGATTCCGATACTTTTTTCTGATTCCACTTCCATAGAACAATGTTTCATGTTCTCCGTGTACTGTTTGATATATCTTCTTTTCCAATATTAAATTTGGTATAAATAATAACTGTAATTAACACTTAGAAATGCAGAAATTGTGTGTGCTTCAATTTTTCATCTTAAATTCATGCTAGCAGTGTTGAATTCATTTTGAAAAGTGTTTGCCCAAAGTTAATACAATTTCATGTAAAGCAAGAAATATTATTAAGCAAAAACATGTTTTTAATCTTAGAAAGATCTTTCCTTGCTTTGGATTGGGAGCCTGAACTGAAGAAGAGATATTTTAATGATAGTGCAGCAGAGGTAAGCTGTTTATGTTGCTCCCCTTTCCAGCGCTAATAAAACTTAAATGTGAAAAATACAATCTCTTATGTCACATTAATTAAATTGTAAGTCTTCAAAAGAAGCTAGTGTATCTCTCTTTCACATTATTTTTAGTAAATGTGTTGTCATAAGTAAACTTCATTTACACATCTAAGTAACTGGTATATCTGAGGCTTAGTCATTTGGAAGTAAATCTGAAGCTCTGAAAACTTTTTGCTTGAGTGGTTTCTCATCAGTTTTTCCATATATAGGAGCTTTGTAGTTACGGTTTATAGTAAGACAACATCACTAAAATGAGTTTTGTTTCATTTGTTCTCTTAACTGAAGAAATACTTCTCTTTAGGATTTTGAAAAACATGAAAGTGTGGAATATAAGCCTCCCAAAAAGCCTTTTGTGAAATTAAAAGATTGCATTGAGCTGTTCACAACTAAGGAAAAACTAGGTGCTGAAGACCCATGGTAAGGACAAAAAAATAAAATTGTTATGTTCTGTGGTGTGTTTCTCAAAATGTAACCAAAACCACAAACATTAACAGAGATATCTAATTGATATCTTAATGGTATGTTGAATCTTGTCATTTCAAGTATAATTGAAAATTCTCAAAATGTTTTCTATTTTGATCCATTGCTTAACTCAAACTGTTAACATATATAGAGGGTTGTGTTTGTGTGGGAGACAACTATTGCATTCAGAATTAGCAGGAAGCGTTGATCCATAAGATATTCTAGTCTGTGAACTGTGATCCACAGTGAATTAATAATATTGTGCCAAATCCAACACAGTGGTTTCAACAACTACTTTCTGGGATGAGAAAGGTTGGTGTGTACTGAAGTTTTTTTATGCAAATACATGACTTGCCTTACATTGATATGTGAAATAGGGATGTGCTTAAACAACAGGTTTGTGGGGTGGGGGATATCTGTAGTCAGTAGAACCTCTTCAAATTCATGCTCTAACCATTAAGTTTTTGCAGAGATTTTTACTGTGATTCATGGTTCTTCCAAATTATGATTTGGAATCATATCTAAATATTCACAGTTACAGGATGTTCCTGTAAGATCCTTCTTCTCCAGGAATTTTCTAGCAGATAAGAATCCTTCATCAACACTTGAAGCTCAGAATCAAGTTTGAAAAGAGGGTGTGCCACTTTTTCTTCTGTGGATACTTAAATGTTTTGAAGACTTCCAAACTTTGTCACCGGAGATCCTCCATTATTTGGGCAGGGGAGGGGACTGACTTAGAAATACTCACTTTTTTTCTGGGTTGGCTAGATTATACAACACTGGATAGACTATTTGAGTTACTGTATAACTGAAATATGGTGAAGTGCTTCCATTTTCGCAGCACATTTTAAACAGTATTTAAACTATATACTACAACTACTGCTGAAGTCAAAGCAGTTGCTACTAGATACATCTCACAGGAGGTAATTAACCACATTCTTTTTTCATTTGTCAGGTCTTCACAGGTCTAATCTACAAGAACTCATCATCCCTAGCCCAGCACTGTTTGTATTCCAGATATTCTAAGCCAACTGGGAAACCATATCTTCAGTTTCAGCCTGCCCTTACAGTTCTCCTAATTTCTTGTCTTTATCTGATGTTGCTATGTAAAGGCACTTGTGCTCATCTCATTTTTTCCTATGTCTTTACCTGTTAGATACCAAGCTGTAGAATATGCATACACCACTTCACAGAAAAGTTGCTTTCATGCGTTGTTGTTACTTACCTTCCCTCCCAAGCCTTAGTTCTTTAAAGACTCAAGTATGCATTGCAGGGAACAGAAGTCGATGTCATAGCCTGTTTAGTATTTGCCTACTAAGGAGGCAAGTTTTTTTTAATGAGGAGTTTTTTCAGGCTCCAGTAGTCACTGTTATCTGGTTTTAGTGGTGGGTGGGGTGGGGTGGGAGAGGGATGGATTTGGAAATTGAAACTTGGAACAACCACAGTTGTCTCTGTTATTTATGGCTTTTCATATAGTCAGTTTTCCTGAAGTATTTTCATAACCCTTCGTCTTTTTTTATTAAATATAAGAAAGCTGTGTTTTAACTAAAGATACAGGGGCTACTATAGGAGATGAGAATGCTATATTTGGGGGTGCCAATTTTGTGTTTAAAACGCTGTTGAGCTTCACTGTGAGCACACTTACACACTAGCACCTCATGTTTTAAACTGGAAGGGATATCAATGGCATTAGTAGCAGAAGGTGGAACATGTTATGTGTGTTTCAGCTTTTGCTCATTCAGTTCCTCCCATGTTATTGGCTTTCTCTGTGGTAATGTATTTTAATGTACTTAAGGACTGCAGTTATTTTAAATTGTTTGGGGGTTTTGCTTTTTGTTTTTTGTTTTTTCCTTTTAGGTATTGTCCAAACTGTAAAGAACATCAGCAAGCTACCAAGAAGTTAGACTTGTGGTCATTGCCCCCTGTACTGGTAGTTCATCTAAAGCGCTTTTCCTACAGCAGATATATGAGGGACAAGTTGGATACATTGGTTGACTTTCCAATAAAGTAAGAAACCTAAATATTTTGGTGCTAGAAGTGTAAAAGTTACCATGACTAAGACACGTGTTTAATCATGCAATTATGTAAAATGGGTTTGTTCTCAGCTTCCATGTGTGGATCCAGTAAACACTGATGACAAAATCCTTATAGGTGAAAAGTATGAAGTTGGAAAAATAATAACATTAGATAAGTTTGTAAGAACTCTCTCAATAGTTTTGGCTAAGATTACTGGTTCTCACTCAACTCCTTAAAGAGTGAAAGAGATGCACTGTCAGTGCAGTCTGGTGTGTGTGTTTTATTGGGGAATATAAAATAAAGGGCTCAAAGACCACCAAAATGTGAAATGGTTAAAAATATTATTAACGTGACCTTTTGGTTGTGTTTTTGTGTGGTTTGTTTTTTTGTTTTTTTTTTAAACAGTGACTTGGACATGTCAGAGTTCCTTATTAATCCCAATGCAGGGCCTTGCCGCTACAACTTGATTGCTGTCTCCAACCACTATGGAGGAATGGGAGGAGGGCATTGTAAGTTGATTTCAAATATCATAATTTTATATGTCAGCTTTCTTTCCATGTTTATTTTAAGTACTGATCACTTGGAATCAAGGGCATTTTTTAATAATTGGGGGACAATTTTTTTCATTACCTTTTCAAATGCTTTCACAAGTATTATAACACAAAAATCTATGAAATGAGCTTTCAAGGATAACTGTAGGTTCCTTCATATTTCTAGTTACGCATATTGTGAAAAGAGAAAACATAAGAGCTACTGTACTCTGACCACTGATTTTTGTCTTACTTGTCTGTATTTTTGTATGTTTTGCATCTCCTTGAAAGAAGAGAGAAAAATGAAAAAGTGACTGAGGGATTTTATTTTGACTGTCCTGTCTCACTATGCATTCTCTTTAGAAGGGGAATGCTATTGATTAAACTTTCTTTGCTTAAAAAAAAAAAAGTGAAAGTATGAGTGTAATAGCGATAATAGATTTTAGTTAGTTAAATGTCAAGTCTTTGACAGTAACAGACTCTAGCAACTGATTGTATTACATCTATTAAGATACACAGTCCTTAGACATTGTACTTTTTTGTCTTAGATACTGCTTTTGCAAAAAACAAGGATGATGGAAAATGGTACTACTTTGATGACAGTAGTGTGTCCACTGCATGTGAGGACCAAATAGTGGCAAGTACCTTTTGTGTTTCTAAAATTGGGACTGTTGATGATGTTTTCTTCTTGAAGAAAGAAAAATGAAGAGTAAATCATGAAACTTGCAGTAAATTTGTAGGTAGTAGTTTGTGTTCTTTCAAAGGACAGTACAAACCAAAAATGTTTTGCTCTGACATGCAAAAATAACAGATGAAAGCTTTCCATGTCTTTGTAATTTTACCATGTAGACTTGGAAGCAAAAAAAAAAAGATGGATAACTTGGATTGTAAATGTTTTATCTGGAGCCTCATGAGCATATTGCACTTTCTTCTTTTACAGTCCAAAGCAGCATATGTGCTCTTCTACCAGAGACAGGACACAATCAGTGGAACTGGTTTTTTCCCTCTTGACCGGGAAACTAAACAAGGTGCTTCAGCTGCCACAGGCATCCCACTAGAAAGTGATGAAGACAGCAATGAAAATGATAATGATATAGAAAATGAAAATTGTATGCACACTAACTAATGGAAGAACTAGAAGCCATAAAAGAGACTTTCCTACCGGGGATACCTATTGAAAGAGTGAAATTGCCCACCAAATTAAGAATAAAAATCTGAGATGGGGAATTTCAGATAACAGAATGTAAATCTTTATTACATTTTAACATGTGCAGTACTTGAAGTGAAACAATAAAAACTTTAACAGAAATTGTCTCTAATGCATTTACAGTCTTGTATTCACAAGCTATATATAGGAAATCACAAATAAACCCCTTTTAAGTTTTCTGCTGCTCTTCTGATGGATTATGTTTTCTTTTGTTTTGGATGTGAGTTGATACCTAAATTGTTAAATCTGTGGACTTCTGACATTTATTTTCTTAGTACTGCAAGAATACTACTGCCAAGTCTAGTTTCTGGATGAATATATACATGTTCCCTAGGCTGTCACACAGACTACCAGTAAAAATGTCATAAATATATAAGCAGTAGTTTTCTTGAAACAGGAAATTTTTGTTTCTCCCTAAAAAATATTTATTTTTTTTTAATTTGGCCACAATAGAAGAAATAGCTTGAAAAGGTGTTTTAACCTTTTGTGATATAGTTGAGCATCCAGAATATTATGTTCATTTTATTGCTGCTGTGGAACAGGTTCTGGATTTCATGCTGCATTAACAAAAAGTTTTTCAATTAAATGTAAGTATCCTTTGTTGCTTGTTGGAATCTACTCTGCAGACATAATTCCTGTTATCTTGCTTATAAGACATGCATAATTTTAATCTGGTGTCAGTCCAAAATTTAAAATTGTGCTGTAAGTTTTCTCTCCCCGGTTTTTGTAGTTTGGCAGCTTGCAAACTACTCTGTAATAGGGTCAGAGTTTATAGTATTCTGTATCCATAGTAATGACTGTGTATGGGGCTTAGATGAGAATTTTTTCAATATACCCTGCCTTTAAATTGTTAATGAACAAAATGTCTTTATAGCTAGGCCTATTAATTTTCTTTGTGTGTTCCTGATGGAATTCACCATAGCCTTACAGCATATTTGAAAAGGTAACTCATTATAAGAGAATTGGCGTTTGCATGTTCAAGTCAGAACCTGTACAGTATATAAGGCATAAGAACTTCGAATTGGATTTTAGTTAACTATGTTCAGGGGTCCAGGATGCCAAAATAAGTGTGACAGTTTCAAACATTTTTTAATTTGCTGCTTTCCCTTTGATCTAGTTGGAAGAATGTATTGTTGATTTGTATACAATACTGCCTTTGAGAGGGGCTCTTAAGTACAGGGGCACACTTCACATATCTACTACCTGGAGAACTGCGTTGTGTCCCACTGTTTAAACAAATAATTAAAAGAATAAAAAAAGGCAAAAAGTATGATGTTCTTCACTTGAACTAATCAAATACAATAGGTTATAAATTGTGTATTGTAAATAAAAGTTCACTCTGTGAGTGCACATTTTGGTAAATTATTTATTTATGTTAGCATTAAAAAGTTTAAAAATTGCATTTGACCAGGATATAAATGAGGTATGTTGGACATGGCTTTGCTTTATACCTTGATATTAAAAATGGTGTTTCATCCTGGTATTTTAAAGCTGCTTTGAGGTTTTTTTTTTTTTAAATGTAAACTAACCTCCTGCATGACAGAGGTTAAAATTTTGTCTGCACTTGAGTTCACTTGGGTTTACATTTGAAATGCGCATGTTTATTTATACAGATTTCAATAAAGCTATTCAAGGCCTTATTTAGTCTTTCATTTTCTTGCAAATTGTTTTCCTACAGTGTTTGTGTAATGGGGCGTCTGTCTAAGACTTGTATTGTCGATTACATAAATAGCTATTTAATGACCAACATGGAATAAGATTAACAGTATTTCCAGAAGATAGTATATATACAAGGGATTATCTCCCATAGTTTTCTGGCTCTAAAAATATTTATAAGGCTGCAAAAAATGTTTATTGTAACAAAAACCTACTATTTGCTTTTTAAAAGTAATACTGTAACAATAATTTATCAAATGGAAAGATACTAACTCTGAGATGGTTGGTGAAATGAGGCAATATATTTAAGATTAGACAAACCAATACAGTGGGTTTAAAACCTTGTATTTAGGTGTGGAGCACAGTAATCCAATACAAAGCTATGTATTAAATACTAGTGAGTTTGACTTGCTTATTTTAATCAGAGCACTTGTGAGGCGAGATTTATCTGTAGAGGAAGTAATCCTAGAGAAGCAATCGTCTCTTTGAATAACACTCAGAAATGGCCTCCTTACTTTCATACTCCCATTGGTTCTCCCATATTATGTTAGCCTAGAACTTGCTGGCAGAAATCACTAAGGAGCAAAGGATATGGTTTGACTTACCAAAGTCCCTCTTTGGAGTTTGTAGATTGGAGCTTTAATATCTGATAACTCAGTCTCCTAACACTCTTCTTACTCCCTTTGAAAATGCATATTTATATACATATGTGGGATCTTCTGTTTGAAGGAATGTACTTACCTACTAATAGTTGGATCTTCCAGATAGCATTTAAAAGGGTATTGATCAAAGTAACTTTTAGTTAACCTAGCAAAATCTGCTCCTTGTCTGAAATGTAGACTGATGAGAGTGTTTAGACAATCTACATTTGTGTGGTAGTAATTCAGTATATTAGCAGAAAACAAGGAATCTCAAAAGCAAAACCAGAATAATTCCTTTTCTTCTTGGAACAGTGCTATCTGATTCAAAACTTACTTTTGGAGCCTGTTCCTGTTCCCAGTAAGAGTTCTTCAGAATGCCACTTTCATAATTTGGGAGGGAAGGCAGAAATTCAATGAGGCTGCTTTGTTCTAGGACCTTTTGTAACATGTCCAGGCTAAAATTTGGAAATTCTTAGAAAATGACAGTTAGGAAAAAATTACTTAAATAATTTCTTTTTTTTTTTGTTTGTTTTTTTGTTATTATTGTTGCTTCCAAGATTACATACACTGAGTTTGTAATCTTCCTAATTAGATATAAAAATCAATAATATGACTGTCTCAAAGGTTTCTGGGAATTCAGCTGGGTTGTGAGTTTCATCAAATTACTATGTATTCACACATAAGATACGATAATTAATCCAGCATGGACATGCTTAAAATTAAAACTAGAGAAAGCATATTATTCTTTACAGTGTCTGTCAAAAGTTATTGTCACTCAACTAGTCATTTATATAGAAAAGGAAGAGGGTAACATCTCTTTTTATGAATCATGTCTGAAAAAACCCTGCAGTATGATCTTCTCTTTTTCCCATTAGATTGACAGCAAACTTTCTGATGGCTCCAAGTATCAGCACAAAACCCAAAATGGTAAGATACAGTTAACCTTGTTAATGTCAGAGTCATAGAAACAAAACAGAGTAGGAGACAGAAAACAGCTTGCAATTCCCAGTTACCCCACAAATTTTATGACATCAATACCTCATTTAAAGCCTGGCTGGTAGGGAAGGAGAGGTGAAGAAATACTGCCCAGGACCTCCTGTTTCAGTTGGCTTCAGATGGCATTCTAGATGCTTCTGTGCGGATCAGTTCCCTCATCTCTTCCATCATCCACTTAAATTAAAGCCTTCCTGGCACCCTTATAGTTGAGACGACAGGCAAGAAAAGCTGTCAGATGTTACCCTGCCAGGAGATGGAGGAACATCTCCAGCACCTACAGCTCTTGCTAATGGGAAGGCCACAACCCCTTCTAGCTTTCCCAGGAAGTCTGCGCTGTGTTATGGAGTGCAATGTATTTAAGTATTTAAAAATCTTCAGGGGTAAGTCAGTATGAAAAGCAAATAAATTAATTGGCAAGCCAACACTGGTAGTTTTCTTCAAAAATTATGCCACCTTCTTTGATGTCAGACTCAGAGTGCAGTTCATCATTGTTTTTAAATACTGGTTAACTTTGGCAAAGAAAATAAATGTAGTGAAACAATTAAAGCTATATTTGACAGAATAAGCATATTCTTAATCTGCAGGCAAATTGCTTTCTTCAGATTTTTTTGGTCCTTTTTCCTTTGGGGGGTTAAACAAATTGTGAAAACAGTTCCACTTCCTTAGTTCCAACATTGCATGCTTTACTGGCGCTGCATGTTCCCAAGGCAGGCAGAGAGACTGTCTTACTGAAATTAAAATAGCATGGAAATCCCTGAAGACTCCAAATACGACAAACTTATGACCAATTATCCCATTAACTAGGGAATGAACTAGGTTACCGATGTCAGGTAGCATTAACAGTCATCCTGGGCCAAATAACGCAAAAGCTGATACAGGGCTCAAACGATAATTCACATCAGTCAGTATGGTTTTATGAAAAGCAAGTTTTGTTATTTGTTATTTTGGGGAGGTTTATTATTTTTTGTTATGGGTTCTTTAATGGAAAAAATAAAATTAATGAAAATTATAATATGGGTGTATCTAGAATTATTCAAGTGCTTGGCACTTAATTATCACATTAAGTATCACATTACTCTCAGCAAAACATGAGTGTTATGCACTATCACCAAAAACCAAGATTAGGAGCTGACCAACAATCTCAAAATAGCTACCATTAGGAAATCAATGTGGAATAGGGGCATTATTGGAGAAGTTGGTGGCACTTGGTCTTAAATTAATGTTTTTATTCAGTGCATAAGATATTCAGATCATAGCTATAGAAGGTGGGTTGTATCCCAGAAAGTAGCAAGTATCCCTAAAACCTATGCAGCCCTGGTGGACAAGTAATTTGGCATGAGCTCCCACTGGGAAACACTGGCATAAGAACTTGTTCTTGGATGCCTAAGCAGAAATAAAAAGTTAATTTAATATTCCTAGTTCTGTGATAAGGATACTAGGAAAATACACCATTTGCGTTACTACCTTTTAAAAGTTCCAACTGCAACCTGGGAGATATTATAGAAAAAAAGTTACAACCCCAGAGTAAATAGATTTGTACTAACAGATGTAAAGAAGTGTTTTATCAGAAAGAATACTCAGAAGGGCCCCAATTTGCGTGCGGTCCCATCTGGGGAGGAAATAACTGTATACAAGGAGCACCCGAGTGGAGAGGAACATTCAAAGAAATAATGGGTCAAAACTGAAACCAGATGATCTGAAAACAGAAGTGTGGGACACTTAATACATTTGCTTTATATAAAGGAAAAGGAAGATACCAGTGGAACAAGCAGCAGAGGCAAGTGGTGGGTGCTGTTAACTCTGAGCTGG